GTAGATCTCAGCTGTATCTGACGCCCGAAGACACTTGGCCAGCAGAGCAGGGAAAATGATCGCGGACGGGATTCGAACTAACCGACCATCCCCACGATCTTCCAACGAACACGCTCTAACACGCTACGCCACCAGCTTGCCCCTCCGGGGTCGAGATCTGAGCTTGGTGCTGCCGAACGGGAGACAAGAAGTGACAAAAAAGAAATGCCCCGCCCGGGAGTTGATCTTAGGGCCAACAAGTTTGGTTCGGATGAAGCTGCATGCCGTCATGTCGACTGTAGCTACAACTGTTCAGCTGAAAAAAAGGGCGTGTGGCTGGTGGCGTTGGACATCGCATATGTTGCCCCATTTGTGGCTGACGCCTGAAAGCTAAGAAGTGACGCCGTGTCAGTCTAGGCGCGGGTCGATGAATGTCGCTGAAAACGCCTTGAGGGTGGGCAATGCTTTCCGGAATCGGGCCCCCGCGGCCCCCTGTCCCTCTGGGCGCTTGGACAAGGCGAGAGCTTCGGAGAGGCATTGATATCTTTCGTTTTCGCTTTAGTTTTTAGCGCTGTTTACTTCTAGCATTGGCGGAAGTAAAGAATTTGTCTATAGAAGGTTCAGTTTAAGCTGACTCGGGCCCTGTCTGCAGCTACAATCGCCCTGGCTGCAGCTACAATCGTGTAGTTACAAACAGGGGCGTCCACGGCACCCGGTGATCACCAATAAGCACCACCACTAGATCCGCACATCACTCCGCGGATCACCCCTCGGACACTTCCCCAGAGTACCCTTTTCTTATCTCCAGCCCTTGTCACCCCATTGTCAGCAGACCCGTACCACCCACCCGCACCGCTCACTTCCGTTGTCTTGCAGCTGCAGTACCTCAGCGGCTTCGGCAACGAGTTCAGCTCGGAGGACCCGCGGTGCCCAGGAGCCCTGCCCGTCGGCCAGAACAGCCCCCAGAAATGTCCGTACGGGCTTTACGCCGAACAACTTTCCGGCACGGCATTCACGGGTGAGCAGACGCGCGCTGGTTTTCAGAGACGTCCCTGTTTGTGGCCTCAAATCTGGCGGCCCGAGTCA